GGAGACGAGTCCGATGGACGTTGCTAAGGAAGTGTCGAAGAGCTTGTCGGAGCGAATCGTCATCGCAAAGGTGTGCCTCTTCGTATATTGCGTGAGTCACCGCATGAAGGGGAACGGCGTAGGTCGATGGCGAACTTTGGGATCTCGAACGACCACTAGAAAGTTCATGTAAGCTCGAGCTTTTAGATTTCGACCACCCAGAAGGTAGAGTCAATGGCCTTGCCGTACTGCTTGCTCATGTTGACCGCTATCACGCTACCAGGCAAGCGCGTTTTCTGGCACTCTTCGGCACATGTTCTTGGTGAAGCCGCAGAGCGACACTATGGATGTCACCTTTGTATCGGACCTCCCACGGATGAGGGTTTCTTTTATGAGATGGCAATTCCTGATAGGCAAGTTTTATCCAGTGCTTGATATCACCCTTTTTTTGAAACGGGATGGGCAGAGTTGTCACTATGACGGATTACCCTGCCCTGGAAAAGGTTTCCGAGATGGCGGTCAAGGACAAGCAAAGGTTTGAGCGCCTTGTCGTCTCCAAAGAGAAACTCCTAGAGATGTTCGATGTGAGGAGATGTTCCCTACTTTCTACTCGCGATGCACTAACTGGTCGAAAGTACAACCTGTACAAAAAGTATCTTATCGAGACCAAGATTCCGGATGGGTCGTCTACCACTGTGTATCGTTGTGGTCCGATGATCGATCTCTGTGTTGGTCCCCATATCCCGCACACGGGCAAGATCAAGGCCTTCATGGTCACCAAGGTATGTGTACAATCTTTATGGTGGACAGCAGCAGTTCTCTTATGACTTCTGAAGAACTCCGCCTCGTACTTCCTCGGGGATGCCAAGAACGACTCCTTGCAGCGAATATATGGGATCTCGTTCCCGGATAAAAAGAAAATGACCGAGTACAAGGTATTCTTGGCTGAGGCGGCCAAGAGAGATCATCGCAAGATAGGCAGGGTAAGGCACCGCAGCTACTTTCGTTGTGTGGCGTTTAACGTCGCGTTCCAGGAACAAGAGCTGTTCTTCTTTAATGATCTAAGCCCCGGAAGCTGTTTTTTCCTTCCGCATGGGACCCGAATTTACAATACTTTGGTCGAGTTAATGAGAGTGCGTACCTTGCTTCTCGTGAAGCTGTATCGGTGATTACACTCCCTATAGTCCGAGTACAGGAAACGTGGCTACCAAGAGGGTGAGTATTTCCCTGCGGCCGGCCCCTCAATCCACCGATGACATCACTGCCTTAACAGTCATCTCTCCGAACATGTATAATGCAAAGCTATGGGAGACGTCCGGGCACTGGCAGAACTACAAGGATGACATGTTCACCCTTGATATTGAGAAGGAGAAGTGGGCACTGAAGCCAATGAACTGCCCTGGACACTGTCTGATATTTGACTCCCGGGACCGGAGTTACAGAGAGTTGCCGATCCGGATGGCCGAGTTCGGCATCGTCCACCGTAACGAGGCATCCGGCGCTTTGACTGGCCTGACTCGTGTGAGACGTTTCATGCAAGACGATACCCACGTATTCTGCATGCCATCGCAGGTCTGTGTGACAGCTTCCATCGCGTGTTGGGTAGCGTTGACCTTTCGTCATCAGATCACTGATGAAATTGGCTTACTGTTCGATTTCATGGAAAGCATCTACGGTTTATTCGGTTTCGAGTACCGGTTCGAGTTGTCTACCCGACCCGAAAATTACTTGGGCAACATCGAGACGTGGAACGTGGCAGAGTCGGTGAGTTTGTATCTCCGATCAGTCGACCAAGCTGATGAGACCCCTGTGACGTAGCAACTGCAGGAGGCTCTCGAGAAGCATCATCCGGGGCAATGGCAATTAAACCCCGGAGATGGTGCCTTTTACGGACCAAAGATAGACATCTACATACGCGATGCATTGCGTCGATCGTTCCAGTGCGCGACCATCCAGCTAGATTTCCAGCTTCCGGAACGATTCAACCTCAAATACCGGTCAGCCGATGAGATGGCCAACCCGGATAAGCCCCCGTCAAGACCCGTGATGATTCATCGAGCGATCCTCGGTAGTCTTGAGAGATTTATCGCAATCATCACCGAGCATTTCGCAGGAAAATGGTACGCGCAGTGCTGTGCGGATATGTTCCGATATGAACTTAGCTCCTTCGTTGGCAGGCCATTTTGGATTTCACCACGCCAAGTACTTGTTATACCCGTGGCTGTGCCGTATGTGAGTCAACGAACGACTTGTAGAATTTTGGAACATTCAGGTGCAACGTTCTTAACGTTCTTGTGATCAGAGGGAATATGCCCAGGAGATAGCCGATAAACTTCAGGCCCTCGGTCTTTTTGCAGACGTCGACAACGGGCCGGATACCCTTCCTAAGAAGATCCGCAATGGTGAAATCGCTCAGTACAACTTCATTCTTGGTGAGACCTTTACTCTTGGCACTTATTCCCTCGGGCCGGTTCCTTATGCTTTCCTCGAAAGTGGTTGGCCAAGAAGAGTTTGACAGTCGTTCAGTCAACGTTCGTAATCGCGATGATGTCGGCACGAAGTCCAAGGGGGAGATGATTCCATTGGAAGATGTTTCTAACAAATTGGTGGCACTCAAGAATTCGAAGAGTCTCCAAAACAAACTTATGTAAGTACAGCAAGTAGAATAGTTGGAATTTGACAAGATGTTTCGGTGGACCTTGACAACGGATGTGCCATTGTGACCATTTTTGAGTATTTGCTCACTGTCGAGTACTGTGAATTGGGTGCTCAGGAAGTGATACCTCCGATAAACTGATTGCGCTGCGGAGTGGTAACCAACGTCAGTCAGAAAAGCGGGGAAAGAAAGGGATTGTCGTACTAATGCCTGTATCGCATCCCGTTCTGATGGGGGCAAACCATTGATTTGTTCTTGGGTTAAACTCAGCACTTGCAACAGCATTTGCTGTTCGCTGCTATATCAGTGTTATTCAAAGAAAACTAAATAGAAACGGACCCTTTGAGCAGGATCGATATTCAGATCTGGCAGCGAAGATGGAGCCTGAGATTGGGTAGCAGGCTGGGGGGGTGCGGGTGTCCGATAGTAGGGGTGTTGTGAAGTAAGGTGCGAGGGGGGTTGCTGATACATGTTTGGCACCGTGGGCGGCGGAACACTCATTGCAGGAGGCATGACAGGCTGAGGTGCATGCATTGGGGGGGGTTGGTAGGACAACTGGGAAGGCTGTGTCTGCGCCGTAGGTCCACTACTTGATGTAGTTGCTTGCAGCATGCGCTGGTGACGAATATTGACAGCATAAATGGAGAGGGACAAAAGGAGAAGAAAACCGAACTGGGCTCACCTGGAGAACGGACTGGTCCACGATCTTGTGTAACAACAATGCCTGGAATAGTGCATATGCAACTTGTGGATGCGCCACCAAGAGGGATCGCGCTTGCTCCGGATGGGTTATCACAAAGGCCTGAACAAAGCGGTGGCAAGCAGAACGTGTTAAGCAGTGTACCACATTCCCAAGGGGACAGCCAACCTTCATCTGTGCTAGGACTTCTACTAATTGGGTAGGATTCATCGTAGCAAGGGTTTGACTGATTGAATCCAGAGCATTCATTCCAGGAGTGATGGGAACACCTGGAGGGAGGGTGGACAAGAAAGCAGAGGGGTCTTGAGCTTTCAGACTGTCCCTAGGGTAATCTCGGTCTCGTTCACGATCTCTGTCTCTTTCCCTATCCCGTTCACGATCCGGTCGGTCTCGGTCGCGGCGATCACGCCAATGTCCTCTGGGGTCGTCAATCAACTCCCCACGCACTGTCGTTTTTCCTTCTAGGAATGGATCGGAGTCTGCCAGGTCAATGCGTAATGGTCGGCCACCGACGTCTACGTTATTGAGGTTTCGCACAGCAGAGGCGGCAGTCTCGTGATCTTGAGGATATCGGATACGCACACACAATGAAGTTTCAAGGAGTGATACATGTAACATAACGGCCGATGTTTTCGAAAATTATAGTGACGCAAATCATGGTCAGAATACCTGAGTTGCGCCGAGCGGGATGAATTAAAAGTACCAGCAAATTCACAAAAGCCGTATCCCCTTGGCTTTCCTGTTTCCCTGTCGAATACAAGTCTGAATGTCAGTCAGCTAAAACGGTCAGCACCTGGATGGATTGAGTTTGTACCGGAAGCCAACGACCTGGCCCACTGTTTTGAAGACCTCGATGAGTTGCTCCTGGTTGAACGTGGGCACCAATGAGACAAGAAACCAAGGAGGTGCGTACCTCCCCCATGTGGTACGGAACATTTCCGACTGCCCAGACCTATGAACCAAAGACTTGGCGGTGATGAGTGAGTAGACACACCAAAGACGACCTTGCTCATTGTGACCGTGCCCAGGTCTGCAGCACGCTGTGTCTTGGTCTCGGCTTAATCTCGGTGGCACAGGCGTGAATACGACGATCAACTCGAGTCCAGGCGGGGCTGGCTAGGATGGCACTGCAGCGTCAACGTTGCTACGGACAACGTCGACCGACGCAAAGCTTCCAGGCTGCAGTCTGGATGCGTTGATTACCAAACGAGCGGGATTTGTCAGCCACGCGTCGTTCACGTGAGCAAAAGCGTTGGTAACACATCCGGTGGTCGCCGACTTCACTGACTCAGTTCACTGATCAAGCTTTCGAGCCTGCCCGACAGCCAGCTACCACTAAACATCTTTGACACTTCTGACTCTGTACGGCAGCCGTCATGAGCGGACCCCCGAGCAGCAACGGCAACTAATCAATGACCACGTAGTTTCTAGCAAGTTCGCGAACGGTCCTTGGAGCAAGCTGTAGATGGGTGGTGCATGTGGTGCCGTGGAGAGTAGCCGTGGAGAGTAGTTTGAAAAACTTCCTTCGGTGGCATGATGTCTGTTCATCGGCGTCAGTGGACCACTAGCATGAGATTGACGTATGCAACTTTGCTGTGGTTAGAGCTCACATTACCTGCACCTGTGTAGGAATCCAGGGATCCTACAGCAGTGCCGCATATGGGTTCCATAGCCCAGATCGTGGTTCTGACCACGAGTGGCTGTGCGATGACTTCCGGCTCGGAGTGACTACCAATTAGTCATCTCGCCCCACACTCCGTATAAAAGCGAGTGGTGGATGGCAGGGGGGAAAAACAAACAAGCTGATTATTCGCTAACAGCTCCCCTCTCTTCTCTATGACAGTTTCAACTACTGTGCTCATCGCTAACAAGCTGTCTCGCATACCAACGTCACATTCGCAGGAGGAACGCTTCCGCGCTCTAGACCGGAACCTGGCTAGAAGATATGTAGCGCTCCTTCTTCATCAGGCCAGAATGTCTGAAGCCAGGCGGTTGGGCGATGGCGAGCTGCTCTACAGACCGAGGTATGTATCCACTTCTCTGTTGTTGGACTTGCTGCTCACCCCAGATTTTAGGGTAGAAGTATGTGACGATCCGTCCTCGTCCCGCATAACGGCGACGGTAGAGCTGCCTGGAGTAAATGCGGAGGAAATCAGTCTTCAGGTTGGCACAAACAGTACACTTCGTATATCAGGAGAACGAAAGAGGAGAACATCCCATACACCGGGATCGGACGCCAAGTATCCTCTTCAGGAAATCAAATATGGCAAATATGAACGGGTCCTTCAGCTTCCGCAGGGAACGATGGTAGGTGGCTTTGACTCATGCTTCTTTCCAAGTTTTTGATCAGAAATCTAAAGTTGACTACGATCTCCGCCGCCGTGGACAACGGGTTGCTTGTTCTCTCGTGGCCGCGAGTACCACCGAGCGCCACTACTAGTGGACCCACTAGTAGCAGGGTTGACGCTGCGGAATCTTCTTGACACGTTTTACTGTTTAGGATGAGCCGGCCTTCCTGGTTTGCTATCGGCGGGGCTATGTATTCTTTATAGGTTGCAGGGTTAAAAGCTTACACTAAGAAGAACGTAATCCCACAACAGACTCCTTTTGGGCTTCATAGGACAATACACCACTTACTTTTGCACTGGACTTTAGTATGTACCTCAACCACCCATGTATTTGTTTAGCTATTAGTACTTGGTGTCGGCACTTCTGTCAAAGAATGAAAACTAGGCACAGGAATTTTGCAATTGCTCGCGGCAGGAACGTGAAATTCACATCTGGTGCCCTCACGAAGCTCCGCTAGAGCTGTTTTTGCCGGGCCTCAGGACACCCGGGGCTCACAATAATAGCAGGGGTAGCTCCGCGCTGAGAAGACGAACTGTGAGCGTATCTCAGAATGGAACGGTGGCCAACATGATTGAATAATTTGTGGCACGTGCTTCTAGGACAGCTGTCTTGCAAGTGACTATTCGTACGTACTTTTCATGCGCGTTTGGCGAAATTATCTTGACTCTGGTTGTCCTCCGTCGGGTTTCCATTGAACAGCATCCCCCCGCCTCAGGTCCGGCGACGCGAGGTTCGGCAGCTATACTGATCTGTGATGTAAATCGCCAGGATGCGCCTCTCCTAGTAAACGTGTTACATCGCCGGCCAGATCAGGATCATGTCTCGCTTCTAATTCACCCGGCGCATCGATACAGGAAGGCCAGATCATCAGAGACGAGCGGTTTGAATTCCAAATGTACACCATGACGCGTGCGTGGCGCACTGGCAACCCAGAAGTGTGCAACAATGGTACACGTATAAATTTAAGCATCAATCGCAGCCGTCGACCTGGTACGAGTCATTGGGATCCTAGCTGGACTCTCGCTGGTGATTATGCAATAGGAGCGGGTGTAATTCATTGCAGACCTAGTCATAGGAACACCCATGACGCCACCGTGGAAGCTAGTCGACTCATTGCTTAATGCCCATTAAGGAGACTTCTGACACATGACCTACACGTGCTGTAGCAGACTGGCAGCCTGTATGTTTGCGCAGGCTCCCACCTGACAGCGGCATAGGGGTTTTCCAAATGGCCTGTGTCAACGCAGAGATGATTTTGCCGATCTTCCAACCCAATCTTCTTTTGGGAGGAACAGACCCCATTAACACGGTAACTCAACAGAGTTCCAATACAAGATCGGTCTATGATCAGATCAAGCTTTCGTCAACCACCTAAGTTTGGAGGGTGGACCGGGAGAAAACTTGCATCTGTCGTTCTCTGTGCGGCAGCTTGTTAAATGGGTATAATTAAATGCAGAACGCTCGGAGAGTAGTCTTCCCCGTCATGGGCGCAGGCAGGCCGTGTACCTTCGAGCACCAAACATCCCATTCCACAGAATATGAGTTGGCTGCATGGCACTGTTCATACTTACGCAAAATATACTACGAAATGTTTGAAGCCGGCGTTCACTCTGTCGCCCGGTCAGTTGGTGGGCTGACAGACGCCATTGCTGTAGGTAATATGAATAGACCATGGCTCTATACGCCTGCCATTGCCTGAAAAGAAAACTTTACCAGGTGAGTATGCTGCGAATTTAAACGTCAAACAGTGGCAGCCTGCAGTAAGTTCCAGTGTCAACAAATCAGGAAGGTTGGCCTGAAAAAGAATTTGAGTGATTCACATATCTCGTAGCAGATGGGCAGTGACCGGCTGACCACTGATGGCACACTGAAATGACTCACCTTGATTCTTACAGTAAACACCCCCGTCAACGTGGAACCCCTAGATCTGAAGAGCTCTACGAAGTGGCACGATGGTGATCTCCGACCTGTGTTTTCTTCAGTTTACTGGAAATGGTAGGGTGATGTACTGCACTGATATTCGTCTTACAGCTCCTCCCTGGTTCCTTGAAACACGCGTGGCTAAATATTGATTGTGTTTCCCTTGTCTAGGACCTTTGAATCCTTCGATTTCGTTCCAAAATCCCCAATAATCATTTTCAGATTCTTGTGGTACCAGGAAAATTCAGACTGGCCAGGCTTAGAAGAGGCCAAGAGTTGGCTTGTGTGCAAAGTAGCCCCTAGCCCAAGTGGACTTCATCCTATGAAAACCTAACCCAAGCTTACGTAACGGCCCTTTACTTGAGTTTGTAATCCTGTGCATTATTGTGGCTGTGGGTGACTAATTCACGGCATTATCCGAGACCTCACAGAGACGCCTCTATATTGTAATGCTGACGCAGAGTCCCAGTCTGTTTTTTAGTCACTGCTGGCTGAAATGCTGCTAACCTCTGCAGGCAGCTCTGAGTACTTGCCACGGTACCGCTCTACATATGACTTAGTAAGTTCCGTCTCTGGCCCAATCGGCTCGGCAGGGCTGCAAGGAATATACCGGTCAGCGCTGCGCCGCAGGAACTAGAGCTAAGCGCTTGGCATGTACGGCTTTAGTGCGCACTCTCCACACTGCGACACATTTTTATGATTTACCAGTACAGCAGACCCGGATTGAAACTTGACACGAGATTAACGACTGCGGAACAGGCAATTATCTACAGTACCCGAGTACTGCATCCGCGTTCTCAGGGGCATTGCATAGGGACTAAGTACTGCCAGAAGGTTGCGTGGCCTTATTACACGTTGACGAGTAACACAGATGAAAGGAACATATACGTGGGCCGTTCCCTTCCGGTCG